GACCAGCAGACCTCAATCTTATCTAAAGGAATGTTGTCAGCTGATTGCTGCTAGATGAGAAAGAGCTGATCTTCCTAAAACAAGAGACTCTAGATTGGCTGACAGGACTCAGTGGATGGATTTGCACTGGGGAATGGCTGGGGGCACTGACAACACAGTGGACAGTAACAGGGATAACGGAGTATATGGGCTTCAGTAGGGGGAGAGGCTATGGGAGGGTGTGATTTGGGATGGGGGTATGATGAGTAGGATTGTTTGGGATATTCTGTATGAAATACACACAAAATCAATTAAAAAATTTAAAGCTTTTAAAAAAATATGGGAAACTCTATGCCAACTTAATTTTAAAAAAAGCAGATAATGCCGTTTGTGACAACACAGATGAGCCAGACATCTTATACTGAGTGAAGTAAGTCCGGCACAGAAAGGCAGAGCCTAGATGGGTTCACTGGCATTTGGAATCTACATTGTGAAATGCTGTAGAGGAGCGGCTGCCAGGGATGGAGGGGTGGGGATGGGGAGGAGTCAGTGGAAGGTCAGTAAAGTGCTAGAGACCTGGGGGCCTGTGGTACCTGCTGTAGTGATGCTGGCTCCGCACTTGGGTGTGCTAAGAGCAGATTCTCCACACGGTGTGGGGGATGATAGACATGCTGTTATCATGACTGTGGTAACCATGTTGCAGTGAGTTTGTAGAACAAATAGCAGGCTGTGCACCTTAGACATGTATTACCTTTTCAGGCAAAAGAAAACCATAACCGCACTTGACGTCCTTTGTGGACATCTTGTCTTTTCAGTGGTTGAACATAGGTTCTTCTCCCAGAACTGGAGTCACAGACAGCTCAGTGGTTAAGAGCACTGGTTGCTCTTGCAGAGGACCTGAGTTCAGTTCCCAGCACCCACATGGTGGCTAACAATCACCCATAACTCCAGTTCCAGAGTATCCAATACCCTCTTCTGACCTCCACAGCATTGCACAACATGAGTGCACTTAGATACACGCAGGCAGTACACTCATACACACAAAAAAAATAATAAACTCTTAAAAAGGATGACATTGTGATAATGCTGCAGAAATCAGTTTATTTCCAGTCCCACTGATGACATAACATTTACAATTTCTCACTCGAGATGACTGTACCTCTTGAGGTTAGGAGAACCCAAGGTGTTGTCCCCATTCCTTCCCATTTGTGAGGTATACCTCTAGCTATTCTGGTTCCTCCTGATCTTTCTCTGGTCTGGACTTTGAAGCACAGTGCTAGACTGTGCTGAGCCTGTGCTACCCAGTTGGGAATGCTTCATTCCACCACTCTCCCAGGTTCGGAAAATCACAGTGTAAAAAGTCACATTGAACTACAAGAGTCCAGCTCACCACTGCAGTGATGTCCTTCTGGACCTGTCATTAACCCCAAGGAATGAGTTGAGGGCTCCTACCTCTTCTCCACTCCCTATGCCTCCTTGTGCCCCCTTTACCCCATCACTCCTGCTCCCCTATACACAGTGGTCTGTCTTACATAGACCTCCTACTCAGCCCATCTGTCTTCTCTGAGGCTCAGGCCCCTCCTGCCTGCCCCATCACCCACAGAGTAATTATTTTATCTTACTTAATTCTTACCTCCTGTTAAGGTATAATTCCCCCCTCCAGTGCTTTGTAGCTTCCCCAGTGTCCTTATCAGAGTGCCCTTCGTAAGCAGGGAACTGGGTTACTGGTTTAGGTGGCATGGAGCCCTGCCACTCCGAGGTACAGCCTTATAAATGGAGTGATAGACATTAAACCAAAACAGCTTAATGAGAATTAGAAATGATTGGCTTGCAAATCAACTTCTTTTTTTCTTTTTTGTATTGGCTACATGTGTGTAAGTATGCCCGTGTTGTGCAGGTCAGGAGAGGGCGTTGGATCCCCTGGAACTGGAGTTAAGGACTGTTGTTAGCTGCCATGTGGGTGCTGGGGGCCAAACCTGGGTCCTCTACAAGAGCAGCCAGTTCTTTTCACCGCTGAGCTGTCTCTCCAGCCCCTACAAATCAACCTGTTGTTTCTTTGAAAGCAAAACCTTGAAGGTTCCAGGGTTTTGTGTCCCAACCAGTGTTTGTTTTCAGATGAATGCTGTGCTGGGAAGCAGGGTTGCCGAGATACGAGCAGGGAGGACGGCGGCTGTGGGGAAAGGGCCGACGTCTGTCCCTCCGCTCTTCACTGTGCCCAGTCTCTGCCTGCAGTGCTGTGGGCTCTTCAGCTCTGCCTTGCAATTGCCAGGCAATCCCTGAGCCTTCTGGCCCTGATTGGCTTGTTGGGTCTTCAGCAATTGAGGTTTCATCCTCAAGTGTTCTGTGTTTTATCTTACAGACTCACTGCCTTCCTTCCCACCTTTCAATCCTGCTATTTATTTCTCTGTCGTTTCATGGCTGTTTGACACTCTGGAGATCTTTCTAGTGTGATCCTTTCTGTTCTTTCTACTGAGTTACCAGTGGGGGCCTCCCTTGGGTATGATGGGAGCTGGTGTTCAGGTGGTACACTTGCTAGGGCTCCTGAAGATGCCATCAGTCTTGCTGCTTCTTCCCAGGGTGCTTTGTCCCTTGTTTCTGCCCAGAGGAGTGTACCAGATGAGACAGAGTGGGCAGTAGTGCTTTGGCCAGACTCACCCCAGACCACCCCACTAGTGGCCTCGGCTTTGACGCACTGCTCCCAATTCCCTGCCTGTCTCCTTCTTCTCAAGGACCCTCTGGCTTTTTAAATCAATAATACATTAAAAGTGCACTTATGTCTCTACTGCCTTTGTTTTCTATAAATTTAACGCTGTTTTAAAAAATAAAGTTTTCCTTTATAAAAAGGTGCCAGAAACATTCCTAGTATCTGGCCACAGCCTAACATGTTGTCAGTCTAGCTCTGTTCACATCCCAACCTTCCTCCTCCAACATGTGTATCATGTGCTCAAAGCCACCATCTCCTTCTTGTCCTGCCTTCCAGACCCCTTCTCCTAGGTCTCTAGGTGCTCTTCACTGTGGGGCTCTGCCAGTGTGTGCAAATTTCCTGGTGTTTGTGTCCAATGTACCAGGATCCAAGGGCCTAGATTTCTCTAGAGTGACACAAGGTGACATCTCCTTCATTGAAGTTGAGGTTCATACTTGGAGATTGGTAGGATTTCTGAATGTTCACTGCCCTGTGGGGCTTTCTTGTCACAATCCCAGGGTTTGTCCCAAGCACTGACTTTGGCACCCTTCAGCCTTACACTGGTGGCAGATGACTTGCCTCAGCATGGAGAAACGGGCCTGTGAAGGAGGCCAGCACACTGGATGGCCACATGCTGCTTGCGAGGCATCTGACAAGGGGAAAGTTAGAAGTGGATGTACTGTGTTGGTGGTCAGGGAACCAGGATTCTCTGGATCCGGATTTTTTTTTTTTTTTTTTTTTTTTTTTTAAAAAAAAAAAAAAAAAAAAAAAAAAAAAGAGGACGATAAATCTTTCACTGTGATATATCAAAATAA